AACAATTTTCTTCGAACATATGTCCAGTTGCCTGAAATAAGAGTAAGAGACATCAATACTTATTAACAAAGCCTAACGCGAATACAAAAAGCAACGAAAACAATACTATAGCAGAGTTTAATTAAATAATGATCATTGCAGGGAACTTGCATTACACAACCGAAGTGATTAGAAAATTTTACCTCGACTGACAGGGTGTTGAAGCCAAACCATCAGAAGTCTAATTTTTATATTATTTTGAATTTATTCTTATAGAAATAAGGCCTATGATCATACTCACAAATCCCATTCATAGTTTAAAACTCTCTGCGTGGCTATAGTAGTATATATACAAACGAGATGTAGAGAACTCATGAATATGATGAAGGTATTGTCCGTATCATGGTCAAAGAACTAAATTAGAGGAGATATTTTAGTATACTATAAGAAAAGAGGCATGCATAGTGTATAAATGGCCGATTATCATTGTTAGCTTTATTTAATTTTTGGAAGATACACAAGCTTCTGTGCGATTTTAACACGGCAACTAAATGATAATCCATAAACTTCCTTCATGTCGAAGAGGCAAGAATATAATATCATTAACGTTCTTATAACAATAACAACCAGAAATATTATGAGTCACGACGAATGGGCAAGATACATAACCTGACCACTGATTATAACATCTGGATTCACTATTGGGTTCGTACATGACATGACACTTGCTACGCCAGCTGTTTGGTCCTGAGTGTGCCGGGAGCATCAACCTTATCTAGAAAAGTTCCGAGTCTGCTGCTTTCTTTCCCTTTCTGACAGAAATGAGGCTGGTGAGTGCCTTTATCACCACAAGTCATCAACCTAACTAAAGAATATGTATATTTATGCCAGCAGTGGCCTGTATTAGTGTTGCCACTTGCCCATGCCAGAAGCCCTGAACAGTGTTGCCAATTCAGATATTCTATAGCTAAATCTAGACTCGATCGACAATTCTACGGACTCGCCAGCGGACTCGCCTGCGGACTCGCGCAACTGGGCCGCTCATAATTCCTTCAATACTTTACGGATCTGCATGAATTTTGGACTATGAGTATTAATTATCGATACGCTGCCGCAGGAATTATTACAGATTTTTACATGACTTATTATTGGGTTAGGTTAGGTTAGGTTAGGTTAGGTTTGGTTAAGTTAGGTTAGGTTAGGTTAGGAAATAATTCATGCAAAAATCTGTAATATTCCTGCGGCAGCGTATCGAGAATTAATACTCATATTCCAAAATTCATGCAGATCCGTTAAGTATTGAAGGAATTATGAGCGGCCCAGTTGCTTAAAAAATACGTTTATTGGTTTAATTCATGTAAAATTCTATAATAATTCCTGCGGCAGCGTATCGATAATTAATACTCATATTCCAAAATTCATGCAGATCCGTTAAGTATTGAAGAAATTATGAGCGGCCCAGTTGCGCGAGTCCGCAGGCGAGTCCGCAGGCGGGTCCGTAGAATTGTCGATTGAGTTAAATCTAGCGTATTTTACGGCATTCAGCGGGGAAAAGGAGCTTTAGAAAAAAAGTAGGTAAAAATTATGTATAATGAGCTTTTCAGCTACATAATTTTGATAGTTAGTTTATTTCTGCTTGGAAATACCAGATTTTAGTGTGAAAGTCATTGATCAGGGTTGCTAGACGGGCCTTTTCCGATAAAATTTCACATATTTGGCCATTTTTTGGAATGCATTGGCCAGACAAAATAATTTGGCCATTTTGTCCGTTTTGAAGTTTTTTCACAGAATAATATAACTCTCCCTTTTTTATTTTTCTTGTCTTTCACTTATAATTTTGTTTTTCCCAAGACGAGTACACTTAAAATTCGACACGTAATTGTGTCAACATTTCGGTTTAGGTTGGCAACACTGGCGAGTGCCGCCTAATCCGCCCGGCAACACTTTGGTTGAAACATGCGACTATATCAGGTTGCCGACTCGTATTAATTAACAACCATGGATGGCAGAGCTGAGAGCGCGTATAAGCGAGTATAGTTGTCTGTTTCCCTTCTAAAGAGTAATAAACTCGTCACTAATTTCTGAGGTTACAGCGTTATTACTCGATACATTTAAGCCTTATAGAGCGAAGCACCACAAATTTTCACTTTGAATTGGTGTAAAATTTTCTAGGCTCCTTGAAAACGTTTTAAATACTAATTTGACCTAAACAATGTAGACTAGTATTTTGGTCAGTCATGATGACATGTCATCATAACAAATTATTTTTTCAACAAATCGCAAGAGATATTCAATTACATGGGTTAGATTTTTATTATTTACTGCGCTTCTAGTTATGTTAGGCCATATGTTATTTTTTAGGTATGCTGAAATTTTGATAAATTTATCGGATTGACATTTAATATTAACCAAAGTCTTAATACAAGTAATGCATACGCTTTCTCCCACAGAAATTAGTTTAAATTGATTTTCATCGTTCACGTATATATTCTACAGTCAAGTAGTCCATGGGCCTATTTCTTCAACGCCGACACTTCTATTCTATTCTATTCTAAGTCAATGCCACTAACTGCGCCACATCACTTATGTCGCCAGCCTTGTAACGGAACTGTCCGTTTGTTATCAAAGCTGTGCCTCAACTTTCCAACCCGATCGAATAGCTTCATAGTTGTTAGGTGGAAATCGAATCCTACAAAATCATACTTTTGACATTATTATAAGGTTTTTGTTTACGATCGTTGAGAAACGTGTAATTTGCTGCAGGCTGGCTGCTTATGTGGCACTGACTGTAATTCAGATCATACACTTAGTGAACTTGATGTAATTTTTGCTTTCCGAAAGCCAGAAAAGTAAATTTGAGCATTGTAAATGGTTTTAACTACCTTAATTACAAAATTTCCTAATTAATTTTAAATGAGGCCGTTTTGGCTTTTGTTGTGTGGTAAATAGGCCTTGTTTTGCTTGGCTCTATCTGGCAACCCTAGCCCCTGTCCCCTCCCCTCAGTCCCCTGAGTGGTGGTACGTACTACGTGGTAGACTGGTAGTGTTGCTGCGGCTTTGGTGAGTGGTAGTGCATTTAGTGTGCGCGGTCGCTCATGCCTTTTTTTGAGAGTTCAATAGTGGGCTGTACATACGACTTAAAAATGGAAAGAAACATTGATTTGGTTCTTCATATGCTCAAAAGAATGTAATTTTATGGCTCAAAAACTTGAGCTTCCTGATTCAAGCTAAAGTTTGTTTCATTGCTTGCAATGAACGCAGACCGCATCGCTCCGTGCACCGCACTAAATATCCTGTGCCGACTCGATAAGACTTAGCTACCTCGTTTGATCATATGTAATTTTTGATGTATAAACATGCGTATAGATGCATGGTTCTTCATTTTCATAAATAAGTTTAAACATTGCTTCAAAGCCGCCTTCATTTAATAAATCGGAATGTCGGAACCAAGCTGTCTTACCAAGCCTCGATTAGGCTACGACCAATTGTAAATTAATTTGTTGACAGTTGACACCAGCAGCTCTGGTAGCATGAATTACGACAGATAAGCGAAGTTAGCGAACGAATAATCAAAATGGCGAACGAATGATCAATGGAATGCCGCTGCTGAACGAATTCAACGCACTTAGCAGGGAGTAATGTAGTAACGGCTTTGATTATCCTATGCTGAAAACTTAAGCAACGAAACTATGCATAGCTATCTCCTCTCGGCGTTCTACAAAAGTTAGAAAATTGGTACTAAACAAAATATGCTCAACAAGCGAGACTACTCTCATGTTCACAGCATCACAGGGTTAAACTTGTAGCTTCATCTTGGTTTGAAGGTTCGAATGTTATTACTACAAAAGCATCTAATACAGAGTGCTGAAATAAGGCAAATCAATATTTTTTTAGTTTAAATTACCACTCAGCACTCGTCAATAAAACTTACACAAGCTAATAGTGCTTGAGGTTGCGATGAACGCCTACCGGCCTATGGTTTAAAGGTTCAACGCTTATACCTGAAGAAATATTCAGCTCAGAAAGTGCGCAGTGATTAAATAAGGCGAAAAAAATCACTTATTTAACCTAAACCGCCATTCCGAACTCTATGGGTTGAATATTGTCCGAGATATAAGCATTGAACATCGGTTCGAGGTAGTTTTGTTGCAGGCAGCCCGGCACCATTGGCGAGTGCTAAATGCTGTTGCCGAGTCCATGGAGGCGATTCAAATTTAGATCTGTTTCAAACGCTTTGGTTCAAGTTTCTAGAATCAATATAATATAAAAGGTTGTGGTACTTTTGATACCAGTGATATATAGTGATATTCTATTACTGCGTCAGCTCCTAATATTACGGAATCACTTCATTCTCCGCCGCATTCGATCAATCCATCGTTCGCCACATGATCTGCACTTCATCGTCTTTAGCGCCTTCAGCTTCCACTGTGACTAACTAGTTCTCCACCCCTAGTGCACTAACTGGTTCTCCGCAACTTGAAGTACGTGTCTCTCTGACCTTTTTTCGTACAGGGCAAGATGATATGCGTTCGTAATCGCGAAAATAACTGTTCTAAATAAATTATTTGTTGTCAGTAGAAATGTCGACTTCCCAACACAAAAATATATGGCAATGATTTGCAACTTTTGACACACGCCAGTCACGCGGCCAGTGTTTCCTTTTCATAGTCTCAGCAGCATATCGCTGGCTGCAAACCGTTAAACTTAACGTGCTCTATGTGGCATGTGCTAATTATTAGCACTTGGAGCCAAATAAAATGTTAAAGCTACTTACTGGCGGCTGACACTATTATTGATACTACGCGATGGAACGGTTGAGAAAAAACTCGAGAGGCCCCGGTTGTAACTACCACAATCTACTGTGCGGAAATTATACGGATACGCGCTATTTAGACGCTAGCGGTGTGGTCGCATAATTTCCAAGCAGTTTAACCAATAGGCTTTAGGTAAAGTTTGTCATATTCACTCGACTTGAAAGCGCTTCACGCCGTTAAATTTACTTAGGTATCCCCCTAGATGGCCAAAGAACGTTGATAATATAACCTTAGCGAAAATTATCACTCACGATGTCCTTTCCAGTTGATCATTTCCAGTCTGTTTTGTAGTCATGGCAGATCCTGGAGTTCAAGCTCCTCTGCATAAGAACGCCAAAGCAACCCGCCCTCGGATAGATAACTTTATTAACTCGAAGAGATTTAAAGAAGTGAACCTACTGAATCTCCTTTATCCCGCGACTACCTCGGCTGGTACGTGATTCTTCATTGACCGTGAATAAATACTTGCATACTTACTTCGTAAAATTCGCTTGTTGGTGAAAATATCCATGGAATTATTTTTCAATGTTCTTCAAATTTCTAATAAGTGTACCTATCTGTTGTGTTATGTAATATAAAAAAGCATTGGATCTCTCTGTTCTGAAATAAAAACTATAAAAACATTTATTTGAGATGAAACTAGTGATAAATTTTGTTCAGATTTGACCCACTGGGCGTTGCCTGGAGGCAACGGTGCTTGGGAGAAATGGACGTTCTCAGAGATAATCAAGCAACAGTTCACTCCTACGAAAGTCGGCACGAATTTTGGACCCACTTGGGCTACCCACTGGTTCAAGGTGGTGTTGACGCTGCCCGAGGCCTGGAAAGGCAAGCAAATCAGATTTCGCTGGGATTCTGGATCTGAAGCAACGCTTTGGAGCTCTGATGGTAGAGTCTTGCAGGTAATGCAAAATATTTGTATTTTAGAGTTGAGAATTAGTAGTTCATTTTTCGGTAGTGATGTTCTACAAGACCTGGAAAGGCAAACGCTTTCTATTCTGAAGCCACGGATAATAATAATTAATATTTGAAGCCACTGTAGCATCGGAGAACTAATTACCTGATGTCTTTGTATTTTAGATGATATGAATACACGCATCTTTCCATTGGGGAGGATATCGCTTTTTCTCACTCTATTACGACTCTATTACATGATGTTAGAATAACTATAAGTTAGGTGCTAATCTAATTTAATGCTAAATTGAAATTCCCTAAGATGAATATCTCTTGATTTTTCTTGTGTGACTTTTAAAAACTTGGATAATATGACTCGAAAATCACTAAGAGAGGAGGTTCTCTTCATTTAGATTATACTACATTCTTTTAATAGGGTTTCTCTTCTGCAAACGGTGACCAATTTCGCACGGACTATGTCATTACGCCGAACTTCGATGGGTCTGAAGAAACGCTTACTTACTACGTCGAAATGGCTTCAAGCAGAATCCTGGGCACCACCAACGGCGATGAGATTGGTGAGCAGCATATTTCTTCGTTCATAAGTAGCGGGTCTGACGAGAAACTAGAGATGCAATATCGTGGGAACGATCATGTCGGTTGCACATGTATACCTACCACGTACATAGTTTTTTTATAAGATCGTTTGTTCCCCATTCATTGCTGATAATTTTTTATGATTGATGCATTAATTCTAAATACGTTTCCCTTTAAATATGGTTATAGCTGCTAAAAAATTTGAAAAAAACTAGTCTGATAACGATTTGTTGAACGATTGAGTTTTTTTAGATTAATGCATACATTTCATGTCATTAGTATAGGTTGGCAGAAATTGGTTTATTTAGCAGGTTTCATTGAAGACTAGAGAATTTGTATTATTGACAATTTTCTTATTAGTTTTTTCAATATATCGAACAATATGTTTCGTTTGCACTTGTAAATCGAAAATCAGATACTACTCCAAAAAATGATGATTTGATTACAAAATAATTAAATTATAATTATAATAATAATTGGATTTGAAATAATTACAAGATCACAAAAATTGGAAGATTATGAAGAATCCGACTCGAGATAGCTGAGGCCCTTAATAGTGTATAGCACTACAGCCATTAACCTTCAAATTATCAGACTTGTCAGAACCTTGAGACCTTTCGTAGTAATTTTTGGTGCTTCAATTCTTTACCATCTTATAATTTTCGTGATTTTGTAATTATTTCGAATCAAATTCTTATTGTTGAGTAATATCATATTTACATAATTTTGTACTTTTGTCGATCTAAATCAATAATGCATTTTGTAACTTCATAATGAATGAGTAATGCCTTCGAAACGTTGCTAACAAATTTCCATCGGTACCCTGATTTTTTATATGCCTGTGCAAACGAAAAATATTGTTCGATATACAGAATAAATACATAAATACCACTAAGAAAATTCCTTGGTCTTCAATGAAACCTGCTTGAGACACAATTCAGTTCAAGACACCTTTTTCAAAATCAATTCACTTGAATGCATTCTTTTCTGAATCCATAAACCATTTTTTTCATAGGATGATTACATTTTTTTGCAGACCCCCCTCCAACCGACAAGACCTTTACGCTCACTAGGGCCGAGGCTGCTGTGTTTGACACGACCGTTTACAAGCTCACTCGAGATTTGGAAGTGCTGCATCAGCTTTCCACGGAGCTAGCCTCAGATACCATCGGCTACATGGCTTTATTCACTGCCAACCAGATGGTCAATCACATCATTGCTGGCAAAGAAAAGTTAGCTTAGATTAATTGTTATGATTGATTTAAAATTTTATCATTTTGTCGACTGCATGTTGGAAAGTTGCGTTAGATCGATGCAAAAAATGATGTGCATTCAGTTTTTAGTCATTGAAGTATAATTTAAATAGAGTTTTCTCTCCTGCGTACTGATTATTTTGTAATTTGATACAATGCTATCGATTACATGAAGTGTTCTCAACGCAGAGAAGCCAGCGATTTGGCCGACTTGTACTTCAGTAAAAGCAACGGCGCTCGAGCGCACAACTTGGCTGCTATAGGAAACTGCCACATCGACTCTGCGTGGCTGTGGACTTACTCGGAGACCAAGAGGAAAGTGGCCCGCTCCTTCTCTTCGCAGCTACAACTCATGGACAAATATCCCGAATTTATTTTCGTGGCTTCTCAGGTGTAAATTTTGGAATTAAATGATCGTTATCTATCATGGACAATTTCAATTTTCATGACACTTAATCTCTTGTTTATGCCTTGTTGGACATAAGTAGATGTGTAAATTCACTGAATGTTCGGGTTATTTATTTTTCATAAATCATGCACGTATCAACCTTGGCTGTTAAATTTTGATTACGACATTTGCTATGCATTTTACACATTCCTAGAGAAATTAATATGGTGTTGATCAAGCCATTTAATTTTGTTCAGGCTCAGCAATGGGCGTGGTGCAAAGAGTTCTATCCGGAGCTCTTCGACCGTATAAAAGTGAGGCTCCTTTTGCTTGAAATATGTTAAGATTGTTTATCATTTATTGTTAGATTATTAAAATTACGAAGCAAGTTGAAAAAAGACACGTGTCGCTCTTTGTGGGTTTATGGTGCCACAGAAGAAAGTAGTTGAGAAATGCTCGAATTGCTCGCTATTAAAGCAACACTAATCCATCTTATAAGCGTTAGTTATTAATATGATAATCAATGGTTTTATATAGGAGGCAATAGTTATCAATAACGTGCATATGTGAATGAAGGAACGCGTGTCGCAAGGCCGCTTCTTGCCGGTGGGAGGAACGTGGGTGGAGATGGACGGCAATATCCCCAGTGGGGAGAGCTTCGTGCGTCAGTTCTTGCACGGCCAAGGCTTCTTTGAGAAGGAACTCGGCGTGCGATGCCGCGAGTTCTGGCTACCTGACACCTTCGGCTACTCCCCACAGATACCAGGGATAATGAGGGTGAGTGACAGAACTTTCGATACTCTGTTAATAATCCTAGAATAGTGAGGGTGAATGCCAGAACTTTCGACCTCTTTCTTAAAAATCGTAGAATAGTGAGAGTGAGTGAAAGAACTTGAAAGAACTTTCGATAACTCTGTTAATAATCCTAGAATAGTGAGGGTGAATGCCAGAACTTTCGACCTCTTTCTTAAAAATCGTAGAATAGTGAGGGTGTGTGAAAGAATTTTCGATAACTCTGTCAATATTCCTAGAATAGTGAGTATGTGTGGAAGAACTTACGATAACTCTGTTAATATTCCTAGAATAGTGAGTATGTGTGAAAGAACTTTCGATAACTCTGTTAATAATCCTAGAATAGTGAGGGTGTGTGAAAAAACTTTCGATAACTCTGTTAACAATCCCATAATAGTGAGAGTTAGTGCAAGGACCTCCAGCTGCTCCCTCACAGATTCCGTGATAATGAGGGTGAGTGAAAGAATTTTCGGCCTCTCTGCCAATATTCTGAAAATAGTGTGGGTTAGTGGAACAACCGTCGGCCATTTCCCCTAACATATTTCGGGTATAGTTATGTGATTTCAACAATTTTTGACTACTCTTTACACCTCTGGGAGATCAGCGGGCGATTCAGTCGGCACTGTAAATATACTGTATATATTTTCTACATTCTAAAGGCTATTTCTCACGCATTCCATTTCATCATTGACAGTTGATCCTAAATCAAGAACGTACTCCACCGAAAAACCCCACCGTTGGTGAGGTTTTTCTTCAATTATGGAGTATCCACCGTATTATTATGAATGAATGAATGAATACTCTTTTGCAGCACGTTGGACTGAACCGTTTCCTGACTCAAAAGATGAGCTGGAGTTTCGTCAATAAATTTCCTCATCACAACTTCACTTGGGAAGGCATTGATGGATCAAAAGTTCTCGCTCATTTCCCTCCTGGCGACTCGTACAGTATGAATTGCAAGTGAGTTTTTACTGGAAATCCTCCAGTAAGATATCCGTAAAATATTAGTATAAAAATACTGGGTTTTTCGATAAACTATCATGAATCTTTTAAAAATAGTTACTCGTCGAATCCTTGAAGTTTTTGCCAGCTCCGAAAAATTTAATTTTACGGAAGGGTTTTCAAATAAATTTTAATACACCATCCATATTTTTTCAGTAAAAGTTGAAAAAAATATTTTCGGTATTAAAATTTTGAAGTTTAAAGCCCGATTTCCGGTTTTAAAACGGAGTATGGTTATTTTTATCTTCATTCCTTATATTCTCATGATTGTTCAAAATATTGTCGCGATTTATAGAGATATGGTACTTCTTCCAAGCTTCGTTACAATTCCCTTACTACCAATTTTCTGCCATTTTATATTTTCTACCACATCTCTTTCCTTATTCTCGCTCAAATTTTCCCCCGTGTACGTCCATCTCCCTCATTGACCCCATCTCTTTCATTTACCCCACCTCCATCATCTACCCTCATCTCCATCATCTACCACCATCTCCATCATCTACCCCCATCACCATCATCTACCCCCATCTCCATCATCTACCCCCATCTCCATCATCTACCATCATCTCCATCATCTACCTACCCCCATCTCCATCATCTTCCATCTCCAACATCTACCCCCATCTCCATCATCTCCATCATCTACCCCCATCTCAATCATTTACCCCCATCTCCACCATCTACCCCCATCTCCAACATCTACCCCCATCTCCATCATCTACCCCTATTCCCCCATTTTCTACCTCCTCCTTCCCACAACCCCAGCGTGAAAGAAGCCCTCCACACGGAGGCCAACCTGCGTGACAAGGGCCGAGCGTCCACGTCGGCCTTCCTCTTCGGCTACGGTGACGGGGGTGGCGGCCCCACCGAAGACATGATCGAGAGGGCGCGGCGCTTGGCCGATGCTGACGGCTGTCCTAGGTAACCCTATTGTCCTACCTGAATTAATAAGAATACGTTTTATTGTACAATTTCATCGCTGTAGAATTATCTTATTAATTAATTATCGTATTGTACAGCAGTGATTTAATGGATATTAGATATTAGAGTATAGTGAAACGTTTTGAGGAACACTTCCTTTGTACCTATTTAGATTCAAATGTTCGATTCATTAGTTCGACGACAATTTTGAGTTGACAATAGCAGCATGCGAAAAACACAAGATTAAGTTAGCTTCCTTGATAAATTCATGCCAGTATGTTTAAAGACGTGAAAGCAGTCTTACTTTGAAGTGTGGTGCCTAGGAAACTTTTTTTCAGATTCGTAGGATAGTTCTCATGGATAATCTTTCGTCTCCACCTTGTTCCACCGTTTAAAAGAATTGGAATATATTGTCTTTTCACTGTGAAAATGCTTGAAGAAATATTTTCTGTTGAAATATTAAACATGCATTGTGTGCTTGTAGGATGCAGATGACAACTCCAGACGCGTTGTTCTCGGCACTGGAGAAGGAGCAACACAACTTCGCCGTGTGGAGAGGAGAGCTGTACCTGGAGCTTCATAACGGCACCTACACTTCACAGGTACCAGTTTTACTTGCACTTGCAACTGAAAGGTGACTGCCAGCAAATTTTCTAATTAATACAATTTTTTGGCATAAAAAGTTAACCCATAATAAAGTTTTGCTAGCCAATTTTTAAATTCCGACCATCTTCGTGTAAAGAGTTTACCCAGATTAAACTTCTGCTAGCCAATTTTAAAGTTCATACAAATTTCTAGCTGGGAAATAGACTTTTAAATTGTCGATGTTCTCTTTCGATCAAGAAAAATCCCCCATTGTTAAAATACAGAAGCTATTTATTTAAGTAGAATACTTTCACATTGACTAACAATGTAATGTTATATGCCTTTCACTGTCCAGGCAGCGATGAAACGCCTGTGTCGGGAGGCCGAGTTTGCGCTGCGCGACGCAGAGTTCTTGCTTTGCATGGCGTCGGCTGGAGGGAAAGGCGGAGACCTGCTCATCAGGCGAGTATATTAATTGTATAATAATTTAAATTGACTAAATTAAAAAGAAAATTTCCCTAATTTATGACGATTCCTGATTTCTTGAGCGATTTTAGGGTATATCCTTGAACCATGGTTATCCTCAGTTATATTTAAAGCAAGAGTTTCGTGTTAGTCAGTGTATGGTTTGCTAAATTTGAATCTACATTTTAAAAATATCGTTGACCTTGAATCCTATTATTGGTTTTAATTTCACAGATCACTCGTAGAACTCGACGCTGCCTGGAAGAAAGTTATGCTAAATCAATTCCACGACGTCCTGCCTGGCTCTGGAATAGAAATGATTTATCCAGAGGCCACGAAGCTCTACCATGAAGCTATAGCAGCTGCTGACACAGTGTGGAAGAGTTCTGCAATTACCGTTCTGGGTGATAAATCCACTTCTGGACGGAGCTTGTGGGATGCGTCCATAGGAAGCTTCTTTCGTAAGCAACGAAATCTTCAAAGATGTTGATCTCAAAGAAGTTTGACATTCATTCACTGTTCTATTTCATCATTAATTAATGATAACGTAGCGATAGCAAACTAATGTGGGGCTCCAGCTCTTGACTAGTTTCCTCTTTCAATTTTCAATGGTATGTACCCTGAATTAAAATAGAACTGAGGAGAAATCTTGCCCTCCCGAGGTTCTTAGGCTTAAACCAGGTGTATATGAAGGCTACAACGGGGGCTGTAGTTCTAACGGTTACGTCGCTTGCTGGATATTTTCATGTTGTTGTAGATTGCTTCACAATGATTACATTTGGCATTTCGTTTTTTATATGTTTTTAGCGCATTTTCTCATTCACGAAAAAATGCACTATTGTGCTCGCCATGTCCGTCCGTCTGTCCGTCTGTCTGTCCGTCCCATTAACCCGTCCGTCTGTCCGTCCGTGACTTCACGTTTTCGTCGACGAGATAATGCGCTCTCTATCACTCACTGCAGTGAGTACTGAGTTTTTCTTACATGTCTCATCTTTTATTGAGTAATTAATTCATTTTTTCTATCCTCACGATTTCTTGTTACTTTTATCACTTACCAAATGAACTATAAGCCAAAACATATAAATAATAAAGGATGAGGATAGCCTTTAGCACAGTTACCTTGCATTTGACATGATTTTTGGAGTATTCTTCAATTATTAGTCGTTGTCGATATAGGCGGTGCTCATGAACTATAACCGAATTCATCCTACAAGTAAATAATAGTATCAATCATTATGAGGGGGCGCATCACGCGATGATTGACATTAGAATAGAATAGAAGTGTCGGCACTGAAGAAATAGGCTCATGGCCTGTTGCTTTTTCTTGAATTTTTCGTAACTTGATTCACAAGGGATCCGGCCTTTGGAACCCGATCTTTCCATAACTGACGATTGATTGAGATAGCTGCTGGACTTATTACCTAGGTCCGTAATTTGCTAGGCATTTTAAGACTGAACATATGCTCCTGCATAGCTTCGTCTAGTCTTATTGCCTGGTCCGTAATTTGCTAGGCATTTTAAGACTGAACATATGCTCCTGCATAGCTTCGTCTAGTCTGTTCTTGAAGGCGTTCATACTCGGAGCGTCAGCGATGCTATCAGGGAGGCTGTATGAAAAGTAGAATACTATGAATTCAATGAGCTGAACGCTTATTAAGTTTTGATATTGATGGTGCATTTCTACTCAAAATGTAACCCTTTTAACCGGTGATTCAGGAAGCGGAGATGCGAGCCAATTGTTGGCATTCAACACCCTGCAGTGGCCAAGGCGGGATGTTGTGACCGTGCCGACCAGTGAAGGAGATCCGAAGGATCTCAACTACGCCTTGGTCGCCGTGCCTGCCTTCGGCTTTGCTGTCATGGAGGCAGCTGCTCCCACTAACCCTGTAACGCTCAGTAAGGGACTAGATTATACAAATATGGGTTTATTAATGCTGTTCAATTACAAGCGTGTCTCTGATTGTTTGACACTTTTTATATTATACAAAAGAAATGAATACATTCGAAGCTTTTTAATCGAGCTCAAGTTATATTGTTTTTACTTCATTCCCTGTGCACCCTCAGGTGAAGTTAACGGGAGTTACATCCTTTCGAACGGCCTTGTCCGGGCTGTCATTTCCAGCCTAGGACAATTGACGAGTCTTGCGGTGGGTGAAGATGTTGACCGCGATGTCTTCATGACGTCAGACGGACAGCAGCTCACGGGCAACAGGATTCTGCTTTACGACGATCAGCCGTTATACTGGGATGCTTGGGACGTCATGGACTATCATCTGGAGACAGAGACTTGCATCAACGACGCCGTAAGTGTCTTGAGTCGAAGTTTCCTTTCGTACCTTCATGCCTAGGAATCGAAATGAATTTAGCTTTATATCTTATGAAGGTAACATAAAATTCAAAGACTCCTGATAGAAGTAGCATGGGAAAATAGTTTATTATTTTTATAAAATCTAAGGTCACCGCGCGTTAATTAAAGAGAGACAAATGAAGATATTTCAGCCTCTTTTATTCAGTGCTCATCCATTAACTCACCTCCCTTACAAGCAGACCGTCTCCACACCGGTGAGCATTAAGGAGCACACCGCACTGCGCTGTACCCTCTCATGGGGCTGCTCCGTGGGACGATCTTCTTCCCTCCTTCAGGAAATTTCCCTATCAGCCGACAGTCCCTACGTAGCATTCAAAACCTCAGTCAACTGGACTGAGAACCGCAAGCTGCTCAAACTTGGCTTCAATACGAGCCTTAAGACGACCTTCGCCACGTACGACACGCAGTTCGGGTCCCTGGCTCGTCCTACGGTTGTTAACACCTCGTGGGACTCGGCGCGATACGAAGTCTGCGGACACAAGTCAGCTATATTAATGAAGCATTTATTATATAATTGAAATAAATACTTAACCTATTAAGCATTTTATATAATTAATTATAAGCATTTTTCCTGGTGGTCTGTTTATAGAAACTGTAGTAGTGTAGTTCTTTGGCAGTACTGTGGCTAGCTTGTCATATGTGTAGCAAGGCTCCACATGTGACATTACCGACCAGTCATGTGTCTGTAAACTAAAGTTGTAATGACTATTACCGATTACTCGGATCCGTCCAAACTTTAATGGTTCTTTGCGATGACGTAATAGTGGGTATTTGACCCCAGAGTTGATTAGAGCATTAAACCATCTAAGTTGATCTTGAATGATCACAAATGTTGCAGGTACGCGGATTTATCAGAGTCCGACTGGGGCTTGGCAGTGCTGAACGACAGCAAGTATGGCTGGAGCGGCCGCGACTCCACCCTGACTCTGACGCTGCTCAAGTCTCCTAAAGCGCCAGACGCAAACTGCGACATGGGCGAGCATTCCTTCGCATACGCTGTCATGCCGCATGCTGGTAAGGGTTGAGCGTCTATTGTATTAATTCAGACTATTGTATTCAGTCAGTCTATTGTATTCAGTCACTTGTATTCAGTCAGTTTATTGTATTCAGTCACTTGTATTCAGTCAGTTTATTGTATTTATTCAGTTTATTGTATTCATTTAGTCTATTGTAGTTAGTCAGTCTATATTATTCATTCAGTCTATTGTATTCATTCAGTCAAAGAAAAATGTGGGCTCTTTTTGAGTAAGGGCTTTTTTATGTGGGCTTTTTTGGAGTAAGTCTAAATAGAATCAATATAGTAGAATCAAAAAATTTATTTTGATATTAATCTAGGCATTCTTTAATGTTTTCTTTCACAGATTTCTAGGCAAGTATTTTTGTTGGTTGGTCACTCAAGCATGCTTGTGTTCTCAGGTCCTCTATTCTCAAGCGACGTGGTGCAGCGCTCCTACGAGTTCAACAATCCTCTGAAGATTATGACTGCCAACAACGTAGCGCCGTCGCCGTAAGTGTTCAGCATATTTTTTTCTCATTGAAACTGAAAATGTCTGTTGCCCCAGGCAACGTTCCAGACATTTTCTCATTTATGGATGGAAAAAATGCACTATTGTGCTCGCCATGTCCGTCTGCCTGTCTGTCCGTCCGTCCGTGACCTCAAGTTTTCGTCGACGAGAAAATGCGCTCTCTGTCACTCACTGCAGTGAGTACTGAGTTATATTTTTTAAATATTGTGTGAACTAAAATTATTGACTTATAATATAAGTTATCGAGTTTTCATTAAGTTATTTTATTCACGTTATATTTATCAAGCTAATTATTCCGCATCTTCCGTGAAGAGAGGAGGGTTCACTCCAAGCTTTGCACTAAATCTGTCTTAAAACAGTGGCAAAACTCGTCAGTATCATCATCAACTCGAAAATTATTAATTAAAAATATTGACTTCTCAAATAAGAAATCGTTTTCATCAACTCCCTTTCCCCCCTTCCCATTATGTGAAGAGAATGGGGAGAACTACTGAGAATAAGGCCTCTGACCCTTGTAATCTCCCGACTAGACTGGTACTGTGTAATGGTTCCGTATGTACACCGTCCCTGCCTTCAAGCTAACACAAACTTGAAGTTTGTATTAGCTCGACAACAAATAATAACAAACCCCGTGTAATAAAAATCAGTAAATCTGGTGGGTAGCGCCTCTATGTCGTGGTGTGCGGTGGTGGGTTAATAATTATCAATAAATCTGGTGGGCAGCGCCTCTATGTCGTGGTGTGCGGTGGTGGGTTAATAATTATCAATAAATCTGGTGGGCAGCGCCTCTATGTCGTGGTGTGCGGTGGTGGGCGCTGGCGTGGTGCTGCACACCGTCAAGCCCGCCCAGGACGGCAGCGGTGACGTCATCCTGCGCGTCTACGAGTCCAGGGGCACGCGCAGCAACGCTCAGTTAGTTCATGTCTTTGATACTCGTATTAAGTTTTATATTTTTGTATAACTTCTATTTCTACACCTTCATGTCTTTGATACTCGTATTAAGTTTATTATTTTTGTTTAATTTCTATCACAGATGGTATTTTCCACGCACTATCATTAGATTGGATAAGAATGAAACTGAAATGTACCGTATTATATATAAACGAGTATTGTCTTGGGTAGAAGTCATTGTCGTGATTTTACGAAAAAAATTGTAAAAAAAAGTAACGATTATATGTGTTGCTTTCGCCATGTCATTTAATTCAATGGAATGTGTTCTTTGTTAATGCTAGTATATTGTTGTTTGTAATGTGCAAGAGCCAACAGCCTCAAGTAACGGTTATTGCAGTTTTAGGTTTAGGCTTTAAAGTGGTAGTAATTATCTAGCTTTGGTGTATGTGTACGATAGACTTCGTTTTTATCTGGAGAAATGATCCTTTATTGATTTCTATGTATGCATTTTAGATAAGAAAATTATTTTTACTTGAACAAGAAACTTCTCATTGAGGTGCTATTGTTGCTTTGCCTCGGGTCCGGTCAAGTCAGGAAGAGCGCGAGCCTCTCCTTAGACCATAGTTATTATTTCATCCCGTATTATTACACACTTATTATTTCATCCCGTATTATTACACGCTTATTAGTTCATCCCGTATTATTACACACTTATTTCATCCCGTATTATTACACACTTATTATTTCATCCAGTAGTTTGTGTGCCGATAGCCGCGGGCCAGATACCAGTTGATGTCCAATGGCTTTAGAGAGTGCCTGGCAGCTGTGTTAGCAGTAGTTTCATTGAATAAATATCTTAAGTGAAGTCCTATCACACTTTTGTTATGTTTTCCTCCTTTACTATCTTAAATGATAATTAAATGATAATGCTACGTTTTCCTCCTTCACAGGCTGCAGTTGATGCTGCCGGTGAAAGGCGTGGTGGAATGCAACGGCATGGAAGACCCTGGCAAAGTTGTTGACTTCGTGGCCAAAGTTGGAGGCGTTTCATTCCTTGTCAAGCTCACTGCTTACGATATTCGTGCCTTTAGAATTAGTTTTTAAGGATCCTCATTTTCCGGTCGTTTATCTCGTTGTTGCTTGGAAATGCAATATCTTCCTAGTTTTATCAGCTGTAATATTTAATCACCGCTATTTAGGTATATACCTAATTTTTGTAAGATTTATAAGCTTAAGATAACAATACTTTCATGTAACGTCTGTCCTATAAAATTTTCTACGTGGAGGACTTCTCGTTCCAGCTCGTCGCCTCGGTTATGAAAATCCAAATAGAAGCGTCTACAATCAAAAATGAATTTTCTACTGTCGAAGAAAACCGTTAGGGTGGTTGACTTGTATAACTTTACAGTGAATTGAAATGTATGTGTTGATATTTTCAATAATATTCTTGAGATATTTTTAAAAGGATTATAGTTACTCTTCAATAAAGTTTTGAACAAGAACCTTTAGTTAATTGAATTTATTTATAGCCTTTTGAATTCGATGTATTCTAACGTCTTTAGACTGTTGCTGATTCTGCAGGCGCAGCCCGGCCCGCGCAGGGAGAAAGGGCTCCATTTAATAATAATATAATAGCGGTTTCAGCGTTTATTAGGCCGTAGGCCTGTCGCCGATTCTCAACATCGCAGAACATTCACAGCATGTTGCGGTCTCTAACTCGCAACTCGCTGCTACAATTCTGCTATGCTTAACCGCGCGGCCTCCTTGCCGATTCTGACCAGAAACTGGCGCACAGAGCTGGGATCAAACCCGCGCCTCTCTGCTCCAATCATGCTACTCGGAACTGTAACCACTGGGTAAAGTAGATGTGTCATTTATGTAAAAATAAGCCGACGTTCAAAGAAAACGTGGCTTGAGGTTTCATTTATAGTCTGGAACAGTTTTATTTCTCAGAGTCGTGAATACGAGACAAATTGTTCCATTTATTTAAATGTAGTTTCGCACTTTTAATTCAAACACTATATAGTGAATGCCTATTCAAAGACCATGAAGAGAAGGTCACAGCTGAGCAATGCGATTTATGAAGTCATGAGTTACATTTGTATTAATTTAAAAGGCGATCTTCATTCAGGTTAGGTGAGGCTCTCGAGGTGTAGAGGTTTCGGCGCGTAGGTTTAGTTAAAATGGGAGATTTCCAGCGTAAAAAAACGAGATTCTAATGCAAGACCATCAATTTGAACTTATTTCGGTTCTCGCCTACAATAAATTGAAAATTATTCCAGACTGAATGAACGTACAAAAATCAGTTTGACATCGATAACTCCAGGTCAATAGTTGATTATCTATAAATTTAATACATATTGCACTTGCTACATCTAAAGTAAAACAACTTAACACTGCGCTGTGTGAAACTAATACATTTAAGCCAATGTGTTTTGTAGTCACCCTTGCCATGTAGCATACGAGCGTAAGTTGTAACTATATCGATTATACGACCCTGGATGCCAAATTTGTTCCATTAACAAGAGTTCGGTATCTGTTTCATTAACAATGGTTCTATATCCGTTCTATCGACATTGATTCAGCATCGTTTAGGGATTTAATCGCCAGCGTTTAGGATATTTCATCAGTTATTTTGGTTCAGCTGCGTATCTATCAGTATTTATTCCACCTTTATAGTTTCAGTATTGGAACCATCGACATTGGTTTAGTATTTGTTCCAATGAAATTGGTTTCGCTTCTGTTCCACCAACTACGGTTCCGAACTATTTAATCGGAATCAGTTTAGCATCGGATACATCAACATTAGGTGATGTATCAATCAATGCTCATTCAGTATTCATCAATATGATTTCTGAAATTTACCCATAAACAATGGTTCAGTGCCCATTCCATCAACAAAGGTTCATTACGGATTCAAAGGACATGGGTTCGGCATTTCTTCCCTCGACATCAAATCAGGAGCATTTTCAGCAACATCAATGCTGGAGCGGTTTCATCAACATCAATGCAGGAACGGTTTCATCAACATCAATGCAGGAACGGTTTCATCAACATCAATGCAGGAACGGTTTCATCAACATCAATGCAGGAACGGTTTCATCAATATCAATGCAGTATCCGTTCTATCGACATCAGTTCCGCACCAATGATTAGATGTATAACCACTCAAATCAATGTAATTTCATGATTTTTGCAAGTTACATGCAAGAAAATCCTGTAAGATTCTGCACCAGATAAATTATACGATGTCCCTGCGCTACCACGTCCAAGGATCGCGAGATATGCAATTGTTCGGCTACTTAAGCCACGCATCAAGGACTGATTAAAACTTTCCATCGCTCGACGCTGTCGGAAAGATGTCTCGCCTTCTTCAGGTTCAGAATGCGAGCTTCTAGACGTCATTGAAAGAACGAAGCTCATTTTATAGCTTCCCTGAAATTTCCATATCTCTGCAAGGTTAGGCGCGCCTAATCAGTAAGCTAATTAAGTGCCTCGCTTTCTCCTAATTTATGCGACACACGCCGTAATTTATGCGAAATTTGATCCTAAAAAACATAATTGTTTGCTTCCGTCTAAGTCGGTCCGCGAAGACTTGGAATTAGCGCTATATGCGCAGTGTTCGGCGCTGTCGAAAATAACACCCGGCGCGTGTTTTAGGAAACGTTTTTTTATACATCGAAGTCGTGTCGTATCTGAAATGCTCATTCATTTGTGATGATTTTAATACAGCATTATTTTACATGGCCCAATTACCTACTGTTACTTCATATGTTCTCTGCTTCGTGGTTTTTCTCTGCTTCGTAGTGTAGCTCAAATCTGAACAACATTTTTCATTTAATTCACATCAGATAAAAGATATTGTTTGGAAAAACGGTTCAGAAGTAATAGGTATGGAATAATTAACCGTCTTCATCTTGAAATAAGGGGGAACATTATGCAACAAAATTTTTTACACTAAATAAACAATTTGACAAACTTCTTGAAAATTTACATAAGTAGGTTGACAAAACAGATTCTTGCTGTATTATTTCAAATACACTCGAAGTAAAACAGTGACAATCTACGAAACGACTACAGTGTGCATGGAAATTCATTAAAATATTTGCCTGTGTATGCAGGCTGAATATTAGTATATGAATATTATTTATTAATATATGAATATCATATTAATATATGAATATATATATGAATATTATCATACTGTGCCTCAATTAACGCAGCAAGCCTCGCACTCGATGGACCGAACAGAATCATACAAGTTTGTGTCTCGATGTTCCTTCGGTAACCTCAGCTTCAATATCTAATCAATTTTAATTAGGTTTTTAGAATTTTCAATTTTTGTGCATAAAAATGTTTTCTTGTATTGAATTGAGTTGTTTTAGTATGGTTACAATATATCCAGAGTTCCTGATTATTTTAATTGAATTAAATTTAGCTTGTAAATAAATAAATTACTTACTAAACATGGTAGGAGGCTATTTTAAGATTTCATGGGAATTACATATTTAAACCACAATACCATTTTTTACAAATACGAGTATTTAACATACAAATTTAATTATTTTGATGCATTTATATACTTTAAATATTGATGAATCTTTTATCCACTCTCAAAATATCCTACTTATAACAAAGTATGTTTTGTAAAATGGGAAATCGAAGCAATTTAAACCAATCTAAGTAAAAATTTTCGGTTATAAAATCTTAGCTGCAATTTATTTCGTAATGTTCCCGCAAAAATGACGTCTAATTGATTTTTTTTACTAAACAAAGCACGAGATAAACATACTGAATAGTTTTAAATGTGCTACATGATTTTCCTTAAAAAAAACGCGCAGGTTAGTTATCCGCAAAATTCTTTTATAGAATATGAGCGGGAACAATGAATATGAGGCTCATAAAAAATTAGTATGTAGCTCGATTCTGCGCAAAAAGGGTGCATCCCATGCTGTAAAAATCATAATTTCCCATAACATTCAAAAGATGAGCTAAAATGCACAGGTTCTATTCTCTCTATTCAAGTGTTTAATATTAATTTTCAATGGCGTATTACATTCATTCATCGCGTCAAATGTAGTAGTATATTAGTTTTCTATGGCGTACAGGTATTACATTCACTCATAGCGTTTAGACTCATTGCTCTCTCACATACGGCCTACATATCATTCTTCACTTAACGCATAATAATGAATTTAAAACCGTTGTTTTGGGAACGGAATTTGTGCATTAAGTGTGGAGGCGTCACTGAGCGAGTGAAGGTCTTGGAAGTAATCCCTGGCTCTGTGCTACGTCTAAATCAGATTTGAATTTTTCTTCTCGCTCTTGGATTAGGTCGGGAGATTTCTGTGAGACTCCTCGGCTAGTGGATTAGGCAATCATTGAGTGAAATTAGACTACTTTCGTTCCTGAGATTGAGAACCAACATGATTGAGTTTGTCATTTAGAGTGACTTCTTAGTTCAAGTCACTGCAGCGACGTTCAAAGTTCGATTAACCGAATTACGAATGTAAGAAATTAATTAGAATTAGACATGTGATATTTTCTTCCATATTTGAATATGCGACATTCTTTTGAGAATAATTATAATTCGGATATATTTGCCAACTATATGTAATTCTATATCATGCAGCAGACACGATCTTCTCACCTAATCTCTCACATGAATCAAATTTCCTTAGGAAACATTCCAGCGTTTATCATTTTCGTATAAAATTCCGCTTCAAAATTTTACGATGAAATTGCAATGGATTTCATTACGTATTGCACTGTAATTACAATGCACTAATGTTCTTGAACCTTGATGATGCCATGAAAAAAATCAACGTGTATAAATGTTTCCCTAAAGTTCCGTGAAAGTGATAAGATGATTCGGATCTTTGTATTAGATTTACTGATGGAAAGTTTTTGAACATTTGGACCAGACAATTTTGTTATACGAGATAAAAATTTCACGTGATATACAAACAATATGATGCAAGAAGATAACATTCAAAAGAAATCAGATCAGATAACGTACTAGAGACTTCAGCTAACCGAATCACCGGAAGTAACCGGGGAAAATTTCGAATAACAACGTAGCGAAACGAACAGCGACCTCAAATATTGAGTACGGTCGTGCGTCAACAAAATACGTTCTATCTACCCAATGAATTTGGCTCAAGCTACACCTTCTATTACAGCATTAACGGATGGAACAAAATGTTATCGAGAAGCCTTTACAACGTATATATAAACTTATTCAATGTACGGAGATAAAATAAGTCATGTCATCGCTTCTCCATCATTAAATTTTGTCATGTCATCGCTTCTCCATCATTCGTTTGGATCAAACACTCCATAAAAATCATTTTATGGAACGTCTGCAGGATTATTATAAACTGCAATTATTTTTTTCACCAACGTTCTTTTGTCGGCACAGGCGCAAGCCTTCATGCACCCTCGCGGAAATTATTTGGAATCTAACCAATAGAATATCTTTTTCGAAGATAATTTCATACCCTGCTGG